TTTCTCAAGACAGGCATGTGGAGAAGGGTCTTGGATGATGACCACAGGTACATCCTTGCCAGGTTCAAGCAACTGCATACATGTGCATTATACTTACACATGACTTCTTACAAAGATTCTACTGATAGATTTGAATCCACATGCATAGTTCATACAACTTTCATACATGTGGCATTTCGACCCAAAATATTTCATCACAAATACCTGCCATGAAATCATTACGCATATTACAAAATATTCACTGGTGCTGTTGTTGCAGCTGCTTATTTTTGCCTCTTCTACTTCCTAGGTAATTCCAGTCTGGTCATATAGTAGGTGAAAGTGTCTTTCTGCCTTCTTGGAACAGAACATTTGCAGCTCACCTTGCCCTTAATAATGTGTGTGTGTGTGAAGTGATTGCAAAACTCTGGTGCTTCATGAGGCAACTAGCACCATGCTCTGACAGTGTCCTAAGTTGCTGATCTGGCCTGATCTGAAATGGAGCCCAAATGGCACACTGAGATCAACACATTCAAAGGTCTTGGAGGAAGGAGCATCGCAGCACCCCTGGCTGCCATGGGCTTAGCAACGCGTTGTCAGCAATGTGTAGGACAACCATGAACTTGGGTGGAGGGAGATGGAAAACTTGAATTCATATTCTAAAATCCCATGAAAAAATCCGTTTAAATTAAACACCCTACAGATCCAATCTCATGTCAGTTGAGACAGAAAAAGAGTCCTACAACTTACAGTGTTCCCTAGCTGGCAAAAGAGCTGAGGCTAAACCATCAGCACATTTTAGCTTAATGCACTTCGTGCCAGAAACTAAGCCTGAGGAGAGGCATTTCGACTTTTGCCCTCCGGCGAGGGCAAGGTGGCACTGTGAAGATGCTAAGAAACCACCAAATCATTGATGACCAGGGGAAAGGGGTGTGGCCAGCTGGCCAACCTGGGGGAGCTCTACTGGGACCCTAGCAGACTAGACTGGTCCCCAGTGAACCATGTCGCAGCCCACAATGGGTGGAGGCTAGGGCTACAGCCATCCCACGCAGATGATGTTCAGGCATCCGAGACAGACTACCTCCACTGAGGACCAGCTGACGTACCATTTTCTACACCGTGTTGGCAGCTCAGTGTTGATTTTTCCCAGAGGATGCCGGTAAGTGCATCCTGAACTGGTTTTGTGACTATTCTGATGTACGGTCCATTGGAATGCACCTATATACATTCACACTGCATCTTTAAAAATATTCAAAAATTAGGATGAACAAGTTCCTGGTGTCCCATGATGTGATTCTGGGCTGACACATTCACAAAACCAGCTCAGCACTCCTGATTTATTGAGAGGGTTTATTTCTGATTTCTTAGAGCAACTGGCTCTTCTCTTCAAATGGCTTCCATCCAGAACTGCCCAGCTGAGACCCGTCAAGAAGGTTGCCTAGGAGAGAGCATGGACCAAGTAAAAGGTTCCACCTATCAGCATTCAGAGCCCCTTTGCATGCAGAAAGCATCTTCTGTTCACAGAAGGGCTGTTTTGCACCTCATGAGAGAGAGGGACTGGGCAACATGACAGCTTTCGGTCCCTTGCATAGTTTCCTTGCTGTTTGCCCAGGTGCCCTAGCCCTGGCAACTGATACTGTCTTGCCGGCAACTGACATTGCTGTGAAATATGTGTTTAATTATTTCTGTAGTGCCCAAGGGCTGTAAACTATCCAGCAGTTTGTAGAGGCTTCCTTTGTGGCTGTAAACTGGTTGGGGCAAAGGGGTCATTTAGTATGCGGGGTTCAAACCCCATCTGTCCTTAGTCATGCTTCCCCTAGCAGCCATTTTGTGGCAGTGCTTAGGACACTTCCTCGATTGCCTAACATACCCTCAGAATAAAAGGCTCCCTTCTTCTTGCACAAGAAAACTGAAAGTAAGTCAAAAGACATTCTTCTGCTTGGGCAGCAGCTTTCATAACTGGACCTATAAGAACAGTCTTGCGCAAGTTCTGTAGAACAGCAGGAGCTGCTGTCTTCCTTCCACTCATCCCTCTTCCAATTAAACCCTCTCTTTCCAGAAGTAACCAGACAGTTGCATCTGGGAAGCTAATGAAGGCATCAGCCCTGCCCTGTTTTTTATCCCAACACGTGGAATTTGCCTTTAGCTAGCATGGTTAAAACCCATTCATAGATCTATCCTCCTTTAACAGGTTAGAGAAAAAGGCTTGGTTCTGTTTCCAATAAATGGAAATAAAAGCAGTTATCCTGAGATTAAAAAAACAGTTATGAACTACTTCTTCGTTTTTTCTTTCTTTTTAAATAAAGGCCTATGCATGTTTAAAGAAAAGCGTTAAAAACATTTTTTTTCATAAATCTAGTTGTGAAATGCCGGACACAGAACAAAAACAATGTCTTTTCCCAAATTAATTCCACATTAGAAAGATATGTGTGAGCAATTACAAAATGGGAGATTGTTACAAAAAAGTTAAGGTTTTTTTCTTAATCTTTTGGTGCCAGTGGAGGTAAAGCTACAAACTTTTCAGATATAATGTAAGCTAAACTAAATGACTGGTAAACTAACAACTAAGAAGCATGTTAAACAGTTTCTTAACTAATAGTCTAATACAATGATTTAAAATGTAGCAATTTTCCTCCTTTTCAACTCTTACATCAGAGATAGTCAACAGAGAAGCTACTGCTTAAAGGTAATTCTTCTTGGATCCTTTGATTTTAATCAAAGCCTGGAATAAATATTGCCACACATATTGGCAATTTTGGGAAGTGGTTGTTGTTTCTAAAACTTGTGAGGCAGCTATTCCACACTTTATGGAGTCCTAGTACTTAAGCACAAGCAACCACGGAAGAATGGCAGATGGGGGAGGGAAGGAGTACCTACTGCAACTGTGTGCTTAGCACTGAAATCAACTGGCTGCGAAGAGGAGACAATGCTGTACAGAGATGTATCTCTCCCTTGCCAGCCCCCAGCAGGGAAGTTTCATCTTAATCTTTATTTGTGCAGGTTTGTATACACTGGGCTTATTTATTTTTCTGGAGCACACATGAGGCAACAACAAGAAAAGGCACACCATGTTCGTGCCATGACTCTCCTGACCTGAACAAGCAGTAGGTACCCATTCCTATTTGGAAAAGCCACGGGGATGCGGAGTGCATCCCTGCTACCGCATGTGTGTGCCAGACAAGCAAATGGTCAAGCGGATCCTCATGCAGGAAACATTGCTGGTCTGTCATTGCTCAGCCCATCCATGCTGATGATCTTATACCAGTGAAATACAGGCTTTCCTCAACCATGAAGTCTGGTGTTTACTTTATGACTGTAGCGCCTGACCATCCTTCAGTGGCTGGTGTCAGATTAATCAGACAGAAGAGCAAGCAGCAGTTACAGACAAGTGGAAATAGGCTAGAGGACACATGTTAGCAAAGACACCAAAATGAAACCTCCATGTGCAGCAGCAGTCTATCTCTGAATGCTGCGAGGCAACAGAAGAAGAGTATTGCCTTTATGCCTTGACTGTAGGTCCTCGGAGACAAATATCTGTCCACTTTTCAAAGGAAAGTATTGTGAGATGCGGCAGTGAGAAGAACCAAGAGAGCTCTCTCAGCAAAGCTAACCAAATAAAAAATGCTGAAAGAAGGCCTCAGATTGGTTGCTATCAGAACCCTACACATGCAAAATGGATTTAAAGCTACTCTTAAGTTCTACACAAAACTTGAATCAGATCATGATGCAAATAACATTAATGGAACTCCAAATATGAAAAAGAACATATGTTTTTTGGCTTCAGATGTTTCCACCAGAAACAGAATGGAACAAAACCTCCAGAAGCAGGGAGGGAAATGGTTACTCTTTATAACCATTTGGAGTAATATTTTTGCAGATGTAAAGAAAAAATAGGCCACTGAAGGCTGAAGTCAGCACGCTTTCCCAACAGATGTCTAAAGCAGCTTAAAATAGTTGAGGAGGAGTTAAAACTGCAGTCCTAAACACTCTAACAAGAAACCTAATAAGGAAAAAAAGCGCAATCCAGTGGGGCCGACCGTGACAAGGGTGAGGGGCAATTACCCGCCCCCTCCTGCAACTGGCAGCTAAGTCAGTCTTCCGGAAGCAGACCTTGCAGCCTCCCTGCCCTCCACAGTGCCCGCAGCCTCCGGAACGGAGGTCGCTTTCCAGCCTTGCTCGTGTTCTTTCCACGTCGGCTGCAAGGAGTTCCCAGGTCGACGCTGACATTCCGACCTCTCCTACGCCATCCGACGACCCCTGCGGTTGCCTCGACTCCGCCACTAGAGGGCAGGGCAGCGCAGTGCCCGGACCTTCGGGCCATCTACAGGCTTTCGTGGGTGCTGCAGTGAAGAAACGGGGCGGTGGCTGCACGGGGCGGGCCTTCTCCGTTCTGACACCCCACGTAGGGAATGTCCTCCGTACGGGGGTTGCCTGGTCCCCACATTGTTACTCTTGGAAAGCAGCCAAAGGCACTCCTTTTCTCCCGGGCATTTTAGCGCTTAATCCTTAGATGCAAGGACTTATATAGTATATAGTTTACACGGTATACTATAATACACCATATTATAGTAAATAATCTATACGTTGCATCGTCATTGTCCATGTCGTTCTTTCCCATGGTGTTCCACTGCTCCCCAGAGACTTTTTCTTTCTGTCGACACGTGCCTGCACGCATTTTGCTCTCACGACTACTAGTTTGCGGGCTGCCCCGCCTCCGGTGCCCGGACACCTCGGCTTGCCCGGGTGCGACTCACTCACACGGTCAAGGAGCGTTAGGGGCCACAGAGCGGGCGCGCAGGCGGGCAGGTCCCGCTTGGGGGAGCCGCGGCTTTCCCCCGGCGAGGCGGAGACCCTGCGGGCGAGCGTGGGCCGCCGCGGCCGTCGCCCAGCCGCCTGCCGGGCACGCCGCGGCGGGCAGCGCGGGAACGGCGGCAGGAAGCGCGTGGGCGCCGCCGAGGAGGACGCCTCCGGCTGGGCGGGCGCGGCGAGGGGAGGGACCGGCGCCCCGAAGGCACTACTTGTGCCGGCCCGGCCGCGGCGCAGAGCCCCGCTCCGCTCCGCTCCGTCCAGGCACCGCTCGCCCGCACGATGCCGCGACTGCCGGCGCCTCTCCTCCCGCCGCTGCTGCTGCTGCTGCTGCTGCTCTGCTCCTCGCCCCTTTCGGCCCGGGACGCCGGGCACGGCAGCTGGCCCGCGAGCAAGCTGATCCGGCTGGACCAGCTGCTGCCGCAGGCGTCCGGAAGGGCGCCCGTCGCCTCCGACTCGCGAGTGACGCGGGCCGCCCGGACGGCCGTCCAGTACTTCAACTACTTGCAAGGGTCGCCAAGCTCCCAGCGGGCGCCGGGCTATGTCAAGAAGGCTTCGGTTAAGGTAAGGAAGGGACAGGAGGGGAAGAAGGACGGGCCTCCGACAGTCTCAGCCTTGGGCGTAGCTGGAGGGAAATGCACTCTGGACATGGCTAGAGGCACAGCAACAATGTTGCTGCCCTCGGGAATTGGATCTGGGGAGCTGTGGCACTGGTGAAGCCTTAGAAGGCAGGGAACGCGTTCCTCGGAATCGTTGACCAGTTTCAGGCACCTCGAGCTGAATGATGCTTGGTTTTTCTCGGGTAGTGCCGGTATTATTCCCCCCCGCTGGGCTTCTGTCCCTTAAGATGGTGGGCAAGTTGCAAATAAAGTGTTTTCAGCTTTCTTTATCTCTTTTTCGGGAACGGTTGGCCTGCGAAATTCCTATCTCGATTCAACGACACAGAAATCTTGCTAGGGGAAAAATAAAACTTGGTAACTCTTCTGGACCTGTCTATGCCCCATGCGCCCTATTCACAAGTAATCCTTGTGACTGCGTCTACTTTGGGGCACTTTTCAAAGAGCGCATCAAAGGTGAGCGCATGTTTTACCCAACCAAAACCGTCCGAGGCGCTCCATCAAGCTCGCCTGGGGGGAGAACGCTCTAAGGCAGCTTAGCCTGCCCGCAGGAGATGGCCAAAAAGCGCAATGCATCTCTGGATCGCACCAGACCCCAAGGCTGCAACAAGAGAAGCGCACTCGCATCCGTGCTCCTCTCTCGCAGCGGAAGAGGCTTTTGGCACTGGAAAGCGCAAAACCCACCAGTTTCGATTCCTGAATTTACCATTCTCTCTCGCCTTCTGCTGTGGACTCTTGAATGGCGTTTCTAGACTGGAAACCCCAGCATTGTTCCTATAGACAGATCTTCCAGGTGACAGTTGTGAACCATTCATAACGTCATGCAATGGGGCCGCCGGGAGGGGTAGAGGGAGCCCTAATCAGCTAAGGCAAAACTGCAGAGTGTTGTATCCTGTTGGTCACTTAACAAAAGACCGTCAGATGTGAATTTCTTTCTTTGGCTTAAAGTGGCAGCAATTTTACTTACAGATCTTAACAGAAGAGCCAGAGCTAAGCTATTCTGCTGTGGTGAATACTGGGTCATGGGGAGGAAATGCCTTATCTGCTTGCTTCTAATAACTGAGCTCTTTTGCTGAGCAGTACGGTGACCTCCTTTTTTCCATTAAGCTGCATTTTACAGTTCTGGATGCTGCTTTTTCCAGTGCTGGTGGAGCATGACAGGCCTGGAGATTTTTTTGCAGTGTGATAGAAGGTGCATGAAGGTTGCACTGACACAAAGTGGCTAGCAGCGGAAAGCAGAAATGGCCAATCCTGAAGTAGCAATTAATAACAGGATCCAAAAACAGCAATACTCAACATTCACAAGTTATGACCAGGACAATACAAAATATAGCCAAGAGGCAAATAGACGGTAACTCACATAGAGCTAAAACTACATTAAGGCAGCCCCACTGCCCAAAAGTTCAACCCACAATCCGATCTGGCAGAAGAAGAGAAGAAGAGGATCCAGTGCCTCAAGCAAGAGATGCCCCTTGCATTGCTGGCTCTGTGCTCCCCTAGCCCTGTCTCACCAACAAGTGGGTGAAATCCCACATCCCTGGAAATGCAGCCAGTGCTCTCACAAGAAGCAGAATGCAGACTGAAATGAGGATGACCTGGCCTGCTCCCTGAAGGGCCACGCCAGAGCACGCCTTGTCTCAAAGGAAGAACCTGCCTTCACCCCAGCAATCCTTGCCAGCAGCCAGATGGAACTGCCTTCTTGGGTGGGACCACTTCCTGGAGGCATCTCTCTCTTCCTAGATGTGGCTCTTCATGTTTTATTTAACCACATTTAATATTATCTATAGATTTTAATTTTCAGCCAGAATAAATTGGGGGTTTTAATTTATGCTATTTATATTTTTTGTATTTGTATTGGGCACTATGTTGTCTATTTATGCTTATTTATGTAAGCCGTCCCGAGGAGTTAAGTGATGGGACGGCATATAAAAACTCCAAATAAATAAATAAAATAATGGTCTTTAGCAGCAGGAAGAGTGAGGTCTGCCAGTGCTGGGCATATGGGAGAGCACCTGCTTTGCACGCAAACAGTTTCCAGGTCAACCCCTTCAATCTAAGGCTGGACAGTGAAGAAAACCAATAGGAAGAAATGGATGCACTCAAAACATGGTACTGGAGGAGAGCTTTGTGAATCCCCTGGACCTTCTGAAAGACAAGTAAGTCCTAGATAAATCAATCCAGGACTTTCCCTGGAAGCAAAAATGACAAGACTGTTGCTATCATACTTTGGACACATCATGAAAAGGAGTCCCTGGAGAAGACAATCATGTTATTTATTTATTTAAAACATTTTTATGCCGCCCCCATCGCAACAAATCCTCGGGGCGGCTCACAACAAGAATGTTAGTGAAAGTTGAAGGCAGAAGACAAAAGGAAAGACCAACTCTGAGATGGATTGACTCCCTAAAGGAGGCCACAGCCTTGAACTTGGAAGAGCTGAACAGAGAGCAGTCATGGGACAGGACATTTTCATTCATGGGGTTACTATAGGTCAGAGACAACTTGGCAGTGCATAACAACAAAAATCTCCTGGTAGCGCAAGGAAAGAACTCCTGAGACCCTTGGTGAGCACTGCTGGGCTGGATACATTGAGTATGAGACAGCTTCTTACGCTCGCATGGAAAGCCACCTAACTCCAGATTGTCCCCAGTGCCACTACCGCAGCTGTTTTTCAACCTGAAGGGATGGTCCTTAACATGCATTCTCATAGGCTTTGCAGATGAAAAACACGCAATGGAAATTTCAGTAAACGACCGGTTCCTTCAGTTATTCTCACCATATACCTTTTAAAGTTAGGGCTCAGTGGCTAGTCTGGTGTCTCTAGTTCAGGGGCAGTGAGAGGGCCACATTCAATTTTGGAGAAGCACTTGAGGCTTCTTTCTGGGGGATGAGGGAGCAGTCCAAAGACTGACCTGGGGCCGGTGGCAAATGGGCTGTCAAAAAGACAAACAGTCCCAGCATGTTGTTGCTTAAAGGTTTAATTGATGGTAATTAAGCCTGAAGAGATATACCAGCTTTTTCACAACTTGGTGGAGAGGGAACTGCACAAAAGCTGAGAAATCACTAAAGAGTTGTGTGTCAACGGAAAAGGTATAGGTCAGGGAAAGGGACTGTTGGCTGCCCGGGGAACTCCAGACATTTGCAACCTGGGCCTGAAGTTTAAATCCTATCTCCATCCCGCATGTAGGAAAGTCCAACACAATTATAAATGGTAGGACTCTGATAACCGGACATCATCTAATAAAATATAATCAGGAACAAGTAGCATCTGTCTGCCTTGTGGTTCAAAATTTTCCCACCCACCCCCATGATTTCCGTCACCAAAAAGCAAGGGATTTAAGATTGTCAGGTCAAATCTCCCTATAAAACCACTTAAATTAGAAGCAGTCAGCATGTCCCGGAGCAGTACGCTTATGTTGTATAAAGGAGGAATTATTTTGGTCTTCTGCCATTGGTTTCTTTAGATTACCTGGAGAAGGAGACTTATGCATTTGCCAAGATACTCTAATTTTACAGCCACATTCATTTATGTGTATCAAATTGTATGCATAATGCTTGGTCAAAGTGAAAACAGCCACCCTGCTACTACTTTCTGTAATGCACTAGTCATTTGGGCTGAAATGCTATACACTTTCAGTCTGGGAATAAGTTCCACTGAGCTTCACAGGACTGACTTTTGCATAGGATCAGATATTCTTAAAGTGCTGTGTCCCTTGTTGTCTACGAACACTCAAAAACTGAGTTGTGCCAGGATAGAATTACAGAGAGAACAGGAGTACCTAATGAAACTATGTGTACATTTTCAGAAACCTTGAAGTTATTATCTAAATCTGCTAAGTAAGTTATAATCAATGCTACAGTCAACACAACTGCAAATCTGGAGATTTGCTGTGCTCTCCAAGCATGCGGATGTAAACTTGTTTGGCTCTTTGGAACAGCCTAGTACTGGTGCAGAGATAAAACGGGTGGCTTGCAACAAATCCCTCACTATACCTCTCCAGCTTCAGTTGTGGAAACTTCAAAGACTGCCTTACAAATCTAGTCCAAGTGGGTTAATACTGAAGCTGTTGGTGTCTTGGAACCTGCTGCAGGCGCTAATCTCCACTTGAGTATTCACTCTTGTCTAGCATTCAGTCCTTCTGAAAATAAAATTCTTGAAGAGGCAGCAAAGAGCCCTGGGCAACTTCTATTTATTTCTCTCTTTTACTATGGAGGTGTTTGAAGGTGGGGGGGGGGGGAGACCAGAGTAAGCGATCTTTGTAATGTTTTACAAAACAAACCAACTGCTGGCCAGGATTGAAGGAGGGTGTTAACATTTCCAGCCTTTGGACTTCATCAAAAGTATGTTTTTTGGATACAGATTGATCTGAAGCTGTTCTTTTGAGGGAAAGGCTCACATCTTTGGAGTAAAAAAACATAAACACAGCACCTTTTCATGTGATCAAAGGGCCTATGCAAGCCAGACTGCCTCTCTGATGCTCCCTGATGCTGCTTTGGTACAGCAGTTGCCAGCAACAGGGGCTCCCGTGCCTTTTATATCTTTTTGGCATGGGAGTGCATGGCAGAGGTAGCCTCTGCCAAACCAGGCTGCCCAGTCATCTGCTTATTACCCTTCTTGCGGGGGTTTGGCCATTCTTAGCTTATACGTTAGTGGCATTTTGTTGCTGAGGCCTGGGTCATATTCAAGGTCTTTCTTTGGAAGACTAAAACAAAAAAGATGGTCTTTCTTGGAACAACTAATCATCTTGTTTAAATTTATTATGGCATACCGCCATAATAAGGCTTCGGCGAATGGGGCGGCATAAAAAATGTTTTAATAAATAAATAAATAAATAAATACCTTTTTTCATCAGAATGTTTATACCGTAATAACTCTGTTGCTCTTTAAATTGGCACTAGACTCTGACCTGGTTCACATGTTACAGCAATTCCCAGGTTGTTTTATTT